TAGTCCTAAAGTTACTCCCAATCAAGCTGATTGATTCCAAGTATTCTTCTTCGTAGTTCACTTACTTTTGTCGAAGGGAAAAACCTGTCAAGAAAAAGACGAGTCATTTGAGCCCATGTAGTTACAGAATTAGGAGGAAGATAAAATAACCACTCCTTAGCCGAATCGGCTAAGGAAAAAAAAAAACTCTAAGTTTTATTTCCTCAGTTACTCCCTGTGGTCTCATCTGGAGCACCATATGAAATTCCTTGAGATGTTTGTGTGGATCATCGTTCAGCATCCATGCAATGTAGGGATGAGATGAATAAGGCCAGTTTTCAACTGGAGAGTTTCGCCTAGGGGAAAATCAATGCACATAGGCCCTTTCTCAGTAGGAACCGTGGCTAACTCCCGAAGTAAGATCGACCATCGATTTATTACCTGAATTTGATTCTTCTTCTGGATTTGTTTGTTGTCTCCTACTTTCCTGAAGTGTTGTGCGTGGAGTCTCCTAGCTTTGGCTTCAATCTCCGGGTTGTACTCCACTAACGCTCCCGGATTAGACCTGGTCATAAATCAAAACAAACAAAAATTAGTAACTTTGGCGAAGTCCCCGTAACGGTGCCAATTTGACAATTGTCATTTGATGTCAAATAAAATTCCTTATTCTCGGATAATAAATAAAGGAAAATTCGTAGCGTAGAGAAGTAGGGTCGAATCCACAGGGTCTTGGAAAGTATAAACTTTTGTTCGGTTTGTTTACACCAGGCGTGAAAGTAATAAAAGGGGGTTTTGGTGATGAGATATTTAAATAATAAAAGTGAATAAATAAATTAAAGCAATTAAAGTAAAAATAGGATGATGAAGATTGTGAATAAATACGGTAAAAATCGCCTCAAACTTCGCTTTGATTCAATTTCCTTTAGATCATCGAATAAGATTTTCTCTTCGGATTCACGTCGGTTACTTTGTCTACAAGGGCTATCCCCGAGACTATTTTGTATATCAAATAGCCAAGGCAATCTTTGATTCCGGCTTCGGGAATTAATTCTATCAACATCAATTGTCATAGATCAATTACCGTTTAAGTTCATGGCGACCGACTCGGATTATTGCTTCAATAACATCAATTCCGGTCTCAATTCCTCTTGGTGAAGCTATCTCGCCAAGTGTTTCCCAGGAAGTCGTATTCTTTCTATAAGCCGAATCTTCCTCCTACACGTTTAATCGCAACAACCTCTTAACCAAAGTCAATCTTTGATTTTAAAATTGTTTTGATTTTGAAAAATAAGCGCATAGATTGAGAGAGATATTCCAAAGATATTAAGAGACTGTTTTAATTCTTCCATTGTAATTGAATCATCGCGACAGCTCTCGGCTTATGAAAAGTTTAGCTAAGCATGACAGAATCATCTTAGCATATTAAAATAAAGCTTGAAAATAAAAGAAAAAGGGAAAAACTTGAAAAGTAAAAGGAGAAAACTTTAATAAAACTAGAGAGAAAAAATAATGTAATTTGAGTGATGAGTTTAGGCTTACCCCAAGTGGGTATTTATAGCCTCTCAAGCCTAAGAGATAAACAAAGAAATAAATAAATAATCCTAAAAGATAATTTTTTTAATTTAAATTGAAACTTAAACTAGTCTCCTAATGCAACTCTGCTCGTCAATCTTCCAAAAGGCATGCGGATGAAGTCTTCTAGAAACCGCCGCTGACTGGACCTTCTAGAAACTGCCACGTCAGATCGCGTCATGTCCAGAGTCGTGCCCATGTCTCCAGCCGTGACCAAATAATAAAAAAATGCAGAATTCGCCCGTTTTGCACAAATTCTAGAAAGCAAGGACCTATACAAAAACAAGTATAATACGACAAATTCAATAGCAATAATTCCACAAAATCGAAGAAATACAAGTAAAGATTAACGATTTTGAACACTCATCAATTATTCAAAGAAAATATGTGTTTACAAAGTTGAATGAAACCTACTTTTATAGGGGAGGAGTTCTAAAAGGCCTAAATAGCTAATGAATGAAAATAATAATAAACTAAACATGTTCTAATTCCTAATAAATAATAATAAACTAAGAATAATGTTTTAACTCGACATTAATTCCTAAAAAATAATAAATCTAATCCTAAAAGATAATGCATCATCCTATATTAAATTATATTACAAATAATTAAAAAATATTGAAAATTCGTAATATTTATAAAATCCCTATTAATCTCATATAGGAATTTTTGCATGCGTTGTCTTCACTAAAATAAGTGTATCTTGAGTTTTTGATATCGGATTGGTACGATTAAAGAACCGTTGTAAAGCTATGAGATATCCATCATAATTAGAAGACATAGACCAAATAACATCAGGATACTTTTCAAAAATTGTTGCAAGTCCGTTGTTATTCTAGACTTGAGTAGATTCCACTTATATTGTGGTGATCCAAGTGGTTGTAGGGGAAGGAATGATTTGTTTTATTCCTTAAACTCTTAAATTTCCATATGGGCATGTATACCCTTTCTGAAAAAGGCTTGGACTATTGTTTGGAGTTTGTCTTTGAGAAGCCTCACTCGTCCTCTTTGATAGATCCTAGCAGAATAGTCAATCCATCATCATTTGGATCGAGGTGTGTGTATGTATCAACATGCCCACTAAAGTTACATACATTACTCTGAATGAGATGTTGAAAGTCATGGTAACGATGCTCCATGAACTGCCAGGCTACTGACATGCCAACGAAAAATATCTGAATGCGGAGCTTATAAAGCCCAACAATATAATCGCTAATCTAGAGTAGCATTAAGAGTTCCCTAAATATGCATGCTAAAGATAGGGTATTAAGCAGTAGGCATATACATGATCTTGATCAATTACTACCTACTTAAGACTCAACTATTTTGTCACTAAAATTGGGGTCTTACACTTCCCTTAGTCCTCAGACAAGGGCCTCACCATGAGTACGCTCTCTCAATGGTCTATAACCTGAATGGCTGACTGTGTCTGCTTTGTATTTTCTAAATACAACTCAGACTCTACTGAGTACTAGCTATACAATGTTGACTAGTATCTGGTCTCACAAAGGCATCAGACACTAGCAACCGCATATATGTCCTGCTAACCCACCCCTCACTTGTAGGATTCACATCTAAATTACCCATTAAAGTACCTCACGCACTTGTTATGGTGTATTCAAGTAAGGACATCACACCTGCCAACCCACCCCTCATGAGTGTTAAGGCCTCGGCACATAGTCATCCGCAGAAGTGCCTCACGCACTTGCTTCATGTATTTTCAGATATCCTATACCATTAGACGATTGTCATTGCCTGAACTAGATTGATGCAACTATACATACCTAAGGCCTAGAGGCTACACGAAACTGACATCGCTAACCAACTCCTCGTGAGTGTTCAGGCCTCGGACCCTCACTAACTCCTGAAGTGTCTCGCGCGCTGATAATTCCCCACTAGGGAAACTAAGGTAACATGGGTATATCCTAATATAACTGGAATCATTTGGTGAGGTCACATTCTCTATAGATGATATCTCATTCGTTCTCTATCTAGAACGTTACGTGAAGGCTTAATGGTCTATACTGTGGTTATTTACTACGCTACTCCACTTGGTCGCTCGTTACTAACGTGTAATTTATTTATTCTTGTCTTTAGCGAAGTCTGTACGTGATCTCGAGGTTTTACGAATATTTCTGATGTTGTTGTTCACTAATTGTACTAACCACTAGCCGGTACCTGACTCTGGTTCAACTTTGAGTAGCGACACTTTGATCGATCTTATTGAACTTTTTCAATACCCCTTGGATTGAAAGGATGGCTTACACATCTTAGGTTCGTTGGCATTCTCAAAGCCCACGCTCTCCACTATTCTGAATTTGACTCCTCATTGTACCACTGGTCGATACATCCCCTGTAACGATCCTCGTTCTCTACTATCAGTATACGTGCTCAACTAAAGATACTTTGATGTATACCGCTTACAATGGTTACCTCTGTTGTAACCCATTTCCATGATTTTTAGGTATGTTTAGACATTCAGGTCCCTCACGGGCTTATTCTTGCTAGTACAATCATTCTTAGCTCTTACAGGCCTAATTTGGGTCAAAACTAACCATCCAAAGTGAGTAGTATCGATACTCTACTTGTAGTATCGATACCCTAGTGCTAACTATCGATATCCTTGAGTATCGATACCAAAATGCATTTTGTTTCCAAAATTGAGGCTTAGTATCGATACTACCACCATGAGTATTGATACTATAGGGGTAGTATCGATACTCCCTTGGCAGTATCGATATTCCCAGCCTAAAATCCTTAATTTTAATTTCAATTCATCTAGTATCGATAGTATTCATCCCAGTACCAATACTCAAACCCTGAAATGGTTATCTAGACTTGGGAAATCACCAAAAATCATCCTAAATGCCATAATTTGGTTTATAATCAAGTGCTAAAGCTTTAGGCAGTTAACTCTGCATATTTAAGGCTCATTTAAGCTTCATCACAAGTTCTTCACGTTGAGCTTCAACTTCTGCATATTTAAGGCTCATCTGGAGATAACGCTCGCGTATGTCACTTAACTCTGCCTCCAGAGATGATTTTGTGCGTTCATATTTCTCTTTTGCGATAACTTCAGTTTCAACACTTGATTTTCTTGGGGTATTTGATTGACTTCTCCGACCCTCTGATAACCTGGTAGAATGATTCATAGCAGGATTAGCTCACGGTGTTGAACTTCTTCATGGAAGATAAATTATGGGATTTTAATGCTGTAACATGTTCCTGTTATCACCTAGTTACACAAGCTTTGTACTTGTTATTGGCTTCCATGGCTTTGGTAAGCTCACTTTCATTGCTTCCATCATTGGAATCGCAATGGCTGCCATCCTGGATTGTAACATGAAATGGAGAAATTTAAACTTTTCGATTTCCAGATTTCGTACCAAAAGGCGAAAGTGGATTCCTTACCTCTCGTCTGTTTCTGTGATAACCGGAATGTTTCAGTTTCAATTTTCTTCAAGGGTTTCAGCTTTTATCGGAAACTCATCTTTCTCCTCTTGAAGCTGTTTTATTTGCTGCTGGAGTGTTTGTCTTCTTGATCTTATTAAGCTCATTTTTAATCTTTCATCCTGCTTTAATAATGCCTCTTTTGTTGCGAGATAGCCTTCCAGGTGCACAAGTTTTTCTTCCAAGGCTACTTTTTCATGTTTGTACACATCCAACTCTGAAACAACCTTTTGCAAGGTAGAAATCTGCTGCATGAAGTAATTTTTCTTTGCCTTCAGATCATCACATTCTCTGGATAATTGATGCAATGAAGTTTTGAGTTCATGTTTCACAGCTTTAATCGAGACGAGTTCATCTCTTAAAGCCAAAATGTCATCCTCAAGATTTTCTATCTTCAGCTGCTGAACCTTCATATTGTTAGATTGTTCTGATACTTCTGCTGTTCATTTTCTGAAACAATCAGCTTTAATTCAAGGTCATTCACAGTAGTTTTAAGTTACCCTTCACTTGACTTGTAACTCTCCAACAACTTCAAAGCTTTTTTGTGTTCCGCCATCAATGTTTTCCGGTTTTCTCTCAAGGCTGCGAGTTCGACCAACAGGTCTTCCACTTCGGATTTAGCTTCAGTTTCCATTTTCTTGAATTCACTCTCTGCAAGGCTCAGTTTAGATTTGGCTTCTTCAAGAGCTGACTGCAGTTTAACTTTATCTTCTCGTAAACCCGAAATTTCACGTGAGCATCGTAAGCTGTTTTTCCTTTTCATGATGTGGTGCAGAGAGTTCCTTAGCAAGGCTTTTCACCTCTTGTCGAAGATTCTCGAGTTCATCGTTCTTCTCAGAATACATTCTATTACAGGAGATTTCTTCAAGCTTGAGTTTTTCCTCGAGTTTCATGCTTTTATCATAAAGTTCATCCAACCCCAATGTTAGCTTCTGCTCTTCTGATGTGAAATCTTTCATGACCAAAGTCAGATTTCCATCAAACACTTGAATATTTTTGCTGCACTCCCTTATTTTGTCCTCCAAGTGAGCACAATGCTCTTCCAATTGTGACTTGTCCTTCCTCAACTCCTCAGCCGACTGCTAATCGAATTGCATTCTTCGATGAGTGTCTCATTAGTTTCTTGTATCTCTGTAATTTCCCTTCTCAGAGATTCACACTTATCCTCAAGTTTACTTTGGTTCAATCTAAGTTCCATAATCTCCTCTTCCTTTGACTGCATGGTAGTCTCCAGTGTTTGAATGTCAGTCCTTTTTGAGCTAACTCATTTACTGCATCAGTTACTTCAGCTTCAAGTCCAATTCTTTGAGTTTCAAGTTCCTGAATGTAGCTGTTGTAATCACTTTGAATCTCCCTGAGAATTTTCTTCTTTAGTTTCTCTTCCAGGAGAAGCATTTCTGACTTTTGTTCACTTACTGCAACTCCATTTGTTTCCTTAATCTTGAGTAGTAATTCAAGATTCTCATCGGTCAGCTCGTTGCAATCAGTTTCTAACTCCTCTAGTTTCACTTTTAAGGCTTCGATTTCTCTGATCAGATGTGCATCGCCACCCTTCTGAAACTCCGGATTCGAGAACTGTCTTTCCTTCCGAGAATCAGATAGCTTTACTTTCAAACCAACGATTTCTCTTTCTTTAGCTGCTAACATATTCTTATATTCTTCTGCAAGGGCATCGGTGTGTTCTTTGTCCTTCAAGGCCTGTTCGAGACAACGCACCTCGGCCTGCAAATTCTTCTCTGATTCTCTTGATTGTTGAAGCTGGATCATTAAGTTCCTGTTTTCCTCTGAAGTTTTCTGCATTTTGTTCTCCAATTTACTTACTCGTGACCGAAGGAACGAAATATCTCCATTTAAACTTTCTGCTTTTCTATGGTCTCTGCCAGCTCCTGAAGAACCGAAACAAGCTCAACTTTTGCTTCTTGGCTCCGCTTCAACTGCAAAGTGAGGCTGTCATTAGACTCTTTTTGGATCTTAATTTCATTTTCCAATTCCTTTTGTAAAAAGATTGTTCCATCATCCTGAAACGCCGTTTGTTTCACCATTGATTTCTCCAACAAAGTTTTGAGATTCTCAACTTCTTTCCGTAGTCCATCGCGTTCCGAGTTCGCCGCCGATAGTTCCGTCGTCAAAGTTGCCTGAGTTTGGACTGGTCGGAGTATTGTTTCCTCAATATGTCCAAATCTTGCATCAACTTGTCGGCATTCCTCTTCCACATCTTTGCTTCCGCATGAAACTCCTCAATCGTCTTCTCTGCTGCTTCAAGAAGGTTTTTCGAAGTCCAAGTCGATGAAGAAAACTCTTGCTTGTTATCCGAAGAACTGCTTTGTGAAACAGAAGATGAATGATCTGAATGAGAATATCATCAATGTGAGAATTCCCATCGTTTCAAACCATTTTGAGAAGTTGCTGCAACTTGCTTTTCCATTAGGCTTCGAGAATCGCCATTGAAATTGCTTGAAGAAGATGAACTTTCCCTCCCTATAGAACTCTCTGCTGAGTCATAGCTGTCATGCGAATCTGAAGCTGTGAAACTTGCTTCCTGCGGAATAAATGCTATATTAGTTTACAGGACGGACGGAGACCGATGAAACAGTTAATTCGCTAAAAATTTTAAATTATCATATATTTTAGATATCGTTTCACCTTAATATAAAACATACGTCCCCATTTAAGATCGATAAAAAATGAGATGCAAATGTACCTACTGACAAGTTCTTCTTGGCGTGGAGCTGAGACAATCTGGAGTAGGGGATGAATCTGCAGTCTTTGCTTTTAAACTCTCTGTACCATCTGAACTAAGGCTCAGATCAGGAAGGTGTTCGGTGTAGTTACGTTCTTCTTGGGAATTGACAACTGTCGTTTCGGATGTCAAAATAAGTCCTTATTCTCAATCAATAAATTAAGGAAATGCGTAAAGAGAAGTAAGGGTCGATTCCACAGGGACTTAGAAAATTATAAATTTCTGTCTGAATTATTTATGCCAGGCGTGAAATAGTAAAAATGGGGGATTTTAGTAAAAGATAATAAAGTGATTAAATAAAAGTAATTAAAGTAAAAAGAAGATGAAGATTGTGAATAAATACGGTAAAAGTAGCCTCAAGCTTCGCTTTGATTCAATTTCCTTTAGATCATCGAATAAGATTTTCTCTTCGGGACTCACGTCGGTTACTTTGTCTACAAGGGCTATCCTTGTGACTCTATCTTGTATACCGAATACCCAAGGCAATCTTTGATTCCGGCTTCGGTAGTGATTCTAACAACATCTATTGTCGTAGATCAAATACCGTTTAAGTTCGTAGCGTCCGACTCGGATTGTTGTTTCTATAACCGTCAATTCCGATCTCAATTCCCTCTTGGCGAATCTATCTCGCCAAGTGTGTTCCCAGGAAGTCGAATTGCTTTCTATAAGCCGAGTCTTCCTCCCACACGTTTAATCGCAACAACCTCTTGACCAAAGTCAATCTTTGATTTTGAAAACTGTTTTGATTTGAAAAATAAGCGCAGAGATTGAGAGAGAGATTCCGAAGATATTAAGGGACCGTTCAATTCTCCGTTGGAATTGAATCGCGACAGCTCTCGGCTTATGAAAAGTTTAGCTAAGCATGACAAAAGTCATACTTAGCATAAAATAAACTTGAAATAAAGAAAAATAAAAAGAACTTGAAAAGGAAAAGAGAAAACTTTTTATAAAAACTATAGAGAAAAGAAGAATGTATTATGAATGATGTGTTTAGGCTTACCCCAAGTGGGTATTAATAGCCTCTAAAGCCTAAGGATAAACAAAGAAAATAATAAAATAATCCTAAAAGATAATTGTTTTTTAATTTAAATTCAAACTTAAACTAGTCTCCTAATGCAACTCTGCTCGTCAATCCTCCAGAAGGCGTGCGGACGAAGTCTTCTAGAAGCCGCTGCGATGGACTTCTAGAAACTGCCACGTCAGACCGCGTCGTGCCCAGAGTCGTGCCATGTCTCCAGCCGTGACCAAATAATAAAAAAAATGCAGAATTCGCCATTTTATCACTAATTCTGGAAAGTAAGGACCTGTACGAAAATATGCATAACACAATCAAATCCAACAAATATCTCCACAAATCGAAGAATAACGAGCAAAGATTAACTATTCTGAACACTCATCAAATTCCCCCTCACTTATCTCATGCTTGTCCTCAAGTATGATTAACTAAATCAGTCAAAACTTCATTAAACGTTTTTTGTCAAGTTTCATATTCAAGGAAAGCAAGGTAGAGACCACAATAACTATTCAAGTCAAGAAATCAATCAATAGAACATCACCAATTGATCAAGTCAAGTGCAATTGTAATATCCATTCATTCATTAATCTCAATGCTCATAACTCAACACCTTACCGGGATTCACTCAAATCACTCAATGTTTGGGTAAAGAAACGCTCATGTCAGAATTGACACGGTATTACCATAAGCCTGCAAGTAAATCAATCTCCGCTACTAATAAGAACAAGATGCTAAATCAAAGGGTCTTTTATTGGTTGTAACGGGGCTTAGGTAAAGGAGGGAAAAGGCTAAATATATGCTAAAATTCAAGGCAAGGAACTAACAATAATAATCTCAACTCCATCAAAACATTAAGCACAACAAGATAAAAAAGACGATATATCAAACAACTTCTTTTCGAAATGCATTTTTTTCTTTTCACACTTTGTTTTGTTTTCTATTTTTTTCTTTCATGTCTTTTTTTCTTCTTTTTCGAACAGCTTTTTTTCTTTTTTTTTCTTTTCGAATTGCTGTTTTTTTTCTCTCGATGGAGCATACAAATGAAAAATTATTCACTTGCCCTGAAAAGGTAGAAAAGACGGATAAAATAAAAGGCTTGGGTTTAAGAATATGGTGAAAACAAGAAACGAGAAAAGGCTCAAAAGTGGTTAACTAAGGGAAAATATTTTTTTTCTTTCATGTCTTTTTTTCTTCTTTTTTCAACAGCTTTTTTTTCTTTTTTTTTCTTTTCGAATTGCTGTTTTTTTTCTCTCGATGGAGCATACAAATGAAAAATTATTCACTTGCCCTGAAAAGGTAGAAAAGACGGATAATAAAAAGGCTTGGGTTTAAGAATATGGTGAAAACAAAGAAACGAGAAAAGGCTCAAAAGTGGTTAACTAAGGGAAAATGCATGGGTAGGCAATTTAGTGGGGAAACGGAGTGGTTAATCCTAAGGTGCCCAAATCATTTTAAAGCATCATATTCATGTGTAATCTCGACAGTATTTAACATGCAGGTTCTAGAATATCAATGTCAAATTCGACACACTCAATCAAACAAAATGAGAGCGAAATGATATGCTCGTAAAGGCTCAAATCTCACCAAATTGTTTCATGCATTGAGCTAATCACATTTCAACCAAAAAATCATGAAATATCACAAAAATACCAACTTATCACAATCCATGCTATCCATTATCAAGAATATCATACCTAAATAATCATGTGTTCCCAAACAAGCATAGCATTCCAAAATTTTCAACAAGACAAAGATAATTAATGAAATTCCGACCAATTCAACCAACATACTAGATTAAAAGCATAAAGATAAGCGAAATGAAATTCAATCCTACACTCTACTCCCCTCACTTAAAGCGTTTTGCCTCAAAACGAATATTAAAGTGCAAGAGAAGGAATAGAGGACTCCCTGAACTAGTGTCGACTGCGGCCACGGCCTCGGCCGCGGTGAGAGGTGCTAGGACGGAGGTATGAGAGAATTTCTGTGATGTTCATCTCGATAGAGTGGAGGCGGTCGTGAACTTCATCCCATTTGTGACTGCATATCTGGGCGTGGCTGCAGGAGGCGGCGCTGGTGTGTTTCGACGAATGAAGACTCGCTCGCTGCGAGGAGTGAGGACACCCGGTGGAACGAAGTAAGGTGTAGTTGGGGTTCTGGCAAGTAGGCCCATTGAATCCAAGCAACGCTCATCTAAAGCATCTGTAGAAAAAGCATAAGTAAAATGTGTTACATCAAAGTGAGCGATGCGAGAAGCTAAATATGTAATGTAAGGGCCAAGGATAAGTAGGCGGTTGGATCGGATAACGATCTTAAAAGCCCGAGCAAACCAAAATCCTAGGTTCACATGCTCGCCGGAGGACATGCACCATAAAAAGAATAGCTCGACTCGGCTTAAGGAGGACGATGAGTCATTCCTGCCAGAATAGTTGTAAGCGAGGAAGCGATGATATAGCGCAAGGCCGGTCGTGGATAAGGTGGGCTCGCGTCGAGCGGGCGTTGAATGGTTGTTTTGGCTAAACCTTTGAGCGCCTCATAAGTCGTATCCGGCATCAACTCTGTGGAATCTCAAGTAAAGCGGTTAGATATGAATACTCGTGACATCCGTCACGAATCCCATAGCAAGATTAAATTCCGATATAGACATTGAAAAGTAAGACCCACACAGTCGGAACGAGACAACATTAGGTGAAATAACATTAAGCAGGCGTTGGGGCGAAAAATTAAAAGTGGCATAAAATTCAAACACAAGTTCATAAAACGTTCCACAGTTAATCATCGGAAAAGTTCCCAACCAATGGCAGCAAAGTATGCATGAACAGACTCACGTAAATGCAATGTTTCTAGAGTACGAGTCGGAATATATTTAGCAACACAGAAAGGGCGGTGTCTTACCGATTCGAAACGTACCAGTTCGTCATTGAAGAATTGTAAATAGCCGTGCAGCATCTCTTCAGGGGGAACTGCGTATGATCGACCCCGACGGTTGCGCTCCGGGTTTTCGTGGGTTGGTGGCGGGTCGTCGGGCACATCCTCCGATCTAGGTGG